AACTTTACCAGTGTGTCAACCATTTAACTTCTAGTAGATAATTATAGGTCCTCATAGCAAAATATATATACTGTATACAGTATAAATACATATATATATAAACATTTTTTGAGGGTGTCACCCCCCAATAAATGTCATTTGGGAAAGTCTAGCCACTCATTTTCACTCAGTACTTTTATTTTTATTACTTAAGTACATTTTATGTCATGAATCACGTCTGTTTCCTGCCCTAGTCCTGTCACAGTCAATTATCTCCTAATTGTTTCTCCCCTCTCATCTCAGCCAACCTCAATCAATGTCATGCCTCTCACCTGTGATCAGCAGTATTTAAGCTCCTCTCATCCACAGCTCCAGTATCAGATTTATGAACGGTTCAGCCTAGTAGTTTGTCAGCAATCATGTCAAGTCTTCCCTGCCTCATCTCGACCTTGGTTCTCCTCACTGGTTCTTCGTCTCTCGCTTTGCCCCTGAATGGTACCATCCCAGACTCTGCCCTCCTGGTTTTGACCCCCACTCTGGATTTCTGCCTCCTGCCTCGCTCCCCATCGGTACTGTTCTGCCTTCTGACTCCTGGATTACGACCACCGCCCGCCTGCTCCAACCACGAGATAAGTCTGCTCCTTCTAACCTGGTTCTGCTCTCAGTCTGCCTGTGTATGACCCCGGCCTGTCCCACGGATTACCCCTGGACCTTTAAGTCCCATCGGAGGTTTCTCTCCAAACACGGAAGTGTCACTGGACACCACCCGACGCTTTYCACGTCACTCAAGAGTTCACTCAGGACCAAGCGTTCTCTTAAAAGGTTAGTGGCTCAGTTTTATGCTAGATCTGTCCCTCTATTTAATCCAGCCACTAACCTTTTCCTCTCTTGTTTAGAGCTCCTGGTCCCCTTGACATGCGCTTCCAGATCCAGCTTCCTGTTTTTAAATAAAACTTTTAAAACTGCTTTGGTGACTGGCATCTCAGTGAAACTCATTTCCCCAATCATTACATTTTAAGTAAGAAATTTATGTTTGATACTTAAGTACAAAATATATTAGATACTTTAAGACTTTTATTCAAGTAATATTCTTAGAGCAGACTTGAACTTTTACCAAAGTTAATTTTATGGTAAGATACTTGCACTTTTACTCAAGTATCACTTTGAGGTACTTTATACAACACTGCTTTATGAATGTACTGAACCATAAAAACATCAGAGATAATAAAGCACATTAAACTGAGAGCCAGACAGTGAGACATAAGGTGAGATGGAGGGTGAGATAAACAGACAGACAGTCACACAGATATTAAGACAGATGAGTGAAACAAACAGAGAGACAGACAGTAAGACAATTATGCAGGCAGTGAGAAAGATGGACAGACAATGAGACAAACACAGACAAACAGACAAGACGTACAATCAAACAGACAGTCGGACTGTAAGACGTACAATCAGACAGATTCAGAATCAGTGAGAATCTAAGTTTGTGTTCATTTCATTCAGTAAGGGGGTTGTGCTCTACAGGTGAAGTCTAACGATGGTTTACTAAGAATATAAGTTCTACCTGTATGGCGATGGGTATGAGTCCTCTGTCAGGATGCTGGTACAGGAGACAGAGTGGGGCTGTGATGTATTGCGGTTTTCCCTTTATTGTGTTGGCAGGAATCCCATCCATGATGCTGTAATCTATCAGGTAGATGTTTCCTGCCTGGACCAAAGATACGTAGAGACAAGAGGAGGACGTTGAATAGAGATGAGTTTAAAATTGTGCATCATACAAATGATACAACTTTACTAGATTTAACATATCCAAAGCTACTGTCCACCTTAAATTCATTGTCCAGTGTGGTTTTTGGAGCCATGGAGCTTTGAACCATGTCTGCTGTGACAGGGAAGTTCTCTGGTATTTTTTTACATCTGTGGATCATCCTGGGATTGCAGCCGTTCAGACACTGGTAACCAAAGAACCAGTCCTCCTTCCAATGCTTCATGCAGTATTCTTAAAAAATAAAACAAACTGGTCAACATTTCAACACTGAAGGTTTGTGCGGTTGTACAGTCAAGTAGGTTTAATGTCCTGAAAAACTAAACAGCTGGTAAGGTTACTCTGGAAATGTCAGGACTGAACCTCAGATTATTAGTACATAACTAGTTCTGTTAGTTGTCAAAGCAGTTGTAACTAATTATGCTTAAACAAATTAAAACAAATAGAAAAAGCATTAATGTTTACACTGCCCGGACAAAAAAAGTGTCCACCTGGATGTAACTCAGGTCTATGATGTGGAGTTGCTGCAGTTGGTCAGGTCTAGGTTCAGCAACAGTATGAGCTCAAAGAATGAGGTCAGCTGACTACCTGAATATACTGAATGACCAGGTTATTCCATCAATGATTGTTTCTTCCCTGATGGTRTGGACATATTCCAAGAAAACAATGCCAGGATTCATCGGGCTCTTATTGTGAAAGAGTGGTTCAGGGAGCATGAGAAATCATTTTCACACATGGATTAGCTCCACAGAGTCCACTGAGAATCTTTGGGAGGTGCTGGAGAAGGTCAGACTCTACATCATCAATGAAAGATCTTGGTGAAGAATTAATGCAACAGTGTATGAAATAAATCTGGTGACATTGCAGGAGCTTATTGAAACAACACTACAGTGAATGTGAGCTGTAATCAAAGCTAAAGGTGGTCCAAGTAAATATCAGAGTGTGACTTTTTTTGGTGGCGACTTTTTTGGCCAGGCAGTGTAGTTTCCTAACAGACAGGGCTGCTTTCAACAGTTAATGTCAAGGTTTTAAGCAAAGATATTACATATTGTGAAGTACAGGGAGAAAATAATGGGGATGATGCACAGCCACACAGTTTTATTTTAATATCTGTAAATTAACAAGATTATGTTATTGTTGCGTTTTCAAAGATTGATTGGCTGTGGTCTTGAATCTTGATTTACGTTGACTCCCAAAACTACTGCATTGTAGACGTTCATCCAGTCCTTTCGGAGAGTTTGATTAAATATTCGTCCAGTGGCTCAGACATTTTTCCTGATCTGTATATTTTCTTAGTTTTATATTATAATATTTTTATGTAAAGCACTTTGAGCTATCAGAAAGAAAGAAAGAAAGAAAGAAAGAAAGAAAGAAAGAAAGAAAGAAAGAAAGAAAGAAAGAAAGAAAGAAAGAAAGAAAGAAAGAAAGAANAGAAAGAAAGAAAGAAAGAAAGAAAGAAAGAAAGAAAGAAAGAAAGAAAGAAAGAAAGAAAGAAAGAAAGAAAGAAAGAAAGAAAGAAAGAGTTAGGTGATGTAGTGGAACGAACCCAAATCCGGACAGAGATTTTAGAATAAATGATTTATTAAATAAAACAAAAGGCTGACGGGGCAGCAAACCAACAAGAAAACTAGAAACACAAGGATACACCAAACAGCTTGGTGGGGAGACCAAGACAATGAACCAGCGAGGAAGAGAGAACTGAACCGGGGTTAAATACAAATTGAGGGAATGAGGAAATTAGCTACAGCTGAAGAGAACACTAATTGGAAAGTACTGACAGATGTGTGAATAAAGAGGAGGGAAACAGCTGAGGAGAAAAGATGAGTAATGGTGCAGGGAAGACAAGAGGGAGACTACAGACAAAACACAAATCCAACATTACCTCCTCCTCAACAAATCGTCTCCGACGATTAAAAGAACTAGCACGGGTGGGAGGTGGGGGGTACTAAACACAAAAGACAGGACAGAGGGAACGAAACAAAATACAACAAGGGAAACACAAAAACGAAAAGACACAGAAAAACAAAACCAAAAACTGACAGGCAAAAGGAGTCCTGGGAAAAAACAACAAAAATAGTCACTGAATGGCCCTAGGCACATCTAGAGAGTTCAGAAGGTTCAGGTGGGCGCCCAAGGACCCAACAACGATGAGAGGGGAACTCCGGAGGGCGACCGTGAGCTCGGCCGCAGCGAAGATGGAGCTCCGGAGGGCGACCGTGAGCTCGGCCACAGCGAAGACAGAGCTCTGGAGGGCGGCCGTGAGTCCACCTGCATCAGAGGTGTAGCTCTGGTGGGCGGCCCGAAGCTTGGCTGAGGAGAGTCTGGACGTGCCGGCTCTGGAGGAGACTCTGTAGGTGCCGGCTCTGGAGATGCTGGCTCTGGAGGACACTCTGGAGGTGCCGGCTCTGGAGATGCTGGCTCTGGAGGACACTCTGGAGGTGCCGGCTCTGGAGATGCTGGCTCTGGAGGACACTCTGGAGGTGCCGGCTCTGGAGATGCTGGCTCTGGAGGACACTCTGGAGGTGCCGGCTCTGGAGGACACGCTGGAGGTGCCGGCTCTAGAGGACACGCTGGAGGTGCCGGCTCTAGAGGACACGCTGGAGGTGCCGGCTCTGGAGGACACGCTGGAGGTGCCGGCTCTAGAGGACACGCTGGAGGTGCCGGCTCTAGAGGACACGCTGGAGGTGCCGGCTCTGGAGGACACGCTGGAGGTGCCGGCTCTAGAGGACACGCTGGAGGTGCCGGCTCTGGAGACACTGCAGGACCAGCAGATGATGGGACTGCAGCAGGCGGCGAGCCCGGCGGGGGCTGCAGCTGGCAATGAGAGCTCTGCTGGGGCTGCAGCGGCAGGCTCTGACTCTGACTCTGTGGACTCCATCACAGGAGCCTTGACAGGTGGGAACAACAGCTCCACCAGAGCTGCTGCTATGCACACCGTCAGAGCCGCCAGGGTGGTCACCGACACTCCCTCCCCCCTAAGACCCTCTCCACAGGAGGTGGACGCATCGACCCTCAGGAGAACACAGGGGGCAGTTGAGGCGTCGATCTTCTGGGGAATACAAGTGGAAGTGGCGGCGGTGAGTTCAGCCGGAGCAGAGGTGGAGGTGGATGCATTCATCCTCGCTGGAGCGCAGGTGGTTGTAGCCACATCAACCCCCTCCTGAGGGTGAGAGGCAGTAGATGCGTCCAGCCTCGCTGGCACCGAAATGGAGGTGAAAGCGTCCCGCCTCGTCGGGACGCAAGCAGTGCTGGAACCTCTCGTAAGAGGCACAGTGGTGAGAGGCGTCTGGGACTTTCTCGTAAATGGCGCAGGTAGAGGTGGTGTCCAGGACCCTCTCGGAGGTGACGGCTTCCAGGACTTCCTCGAAAGTGACACAGGAGTAGGCAGTGTCTGGGAACATCTCGGGGGAGATGCTGGCGGGCGAGGCGGAGGCGGAACTGGAGGGACAGGATCCATCAATCCTGCCGAGCAGTACCCGATGTATTCGGAGCAGAATGGGTGCAGCTCGGGGTCATAGTCCGGGTCGTACTCGGGTTCACTGTCCTGAGGCTTGGAGAGAAAAACCCCAGACGGCTCCGGAGGAACCGCCGCCTTCCTCCGACGGCAACAGTGGCGCCGAGAAGAACTAGATGGTGGAGTGGGTTTTACTGCCAGGTGAGTCCCCCAGAACTGCATCCTGGCCTGGATTCTGGTTCTCTCCTTCTCTTCCTCCACAAGGAGAGCGGACGGAAGGATCTTGAGCTCCGGACTCTGGCATTCCCATCTCTCAGCAGGCTGCGCAGGAACAGTCCGGAAGAAACCACCCAGATGACAGACTGCGGCTGCTGGATCTGGTGAGTCTTGGTCCGTCTCTGATACTCACTAAGAGGAGCGAAGAGGTTCTCCTTTTTGGCAAACTCAAAAAAAAATAATAATAAAACTTACCCTCCTGCTGGGTCCTGAAGCTGGCATGTTCATTCTGTTTGGTGATGTAGTGGAACGAACTCAAATCCGGACGGAGAGTAAGATTTTAGAATAAATGATTTATTTAAAAAAACAAAAGGCCAACGGGGCAGCAAAACAACAAGAAAACTAGAAACACAAGGATACATCAAACAGCTTGGTGGGGAGACCAAGACAATGAAACAGCGAGGAAATGAGAACTGAACCAGGGTTAAATACAAACTGAGGGAATGAGGAAATTAGCTACAGCTGAAGAGAACACTAATTGGCAAGTACTGACAGGTGTGTGAATAATGAGGAGGGAAACAGCTGAGGAGATAAGATGAGTAATGGCGCAGGGAAGACAAGAGGGAGACTACAGACAAAACACAAACCCAACAGAAAGAAAGAAAGAAAGAAAGAAAGAAAGAAAGAAAGAAAGAAAGAAAGAAAGAAAGAAAGAAAGAAAGAAAGAAAGAAAGAAAGAAGCTAAAACCTTATTGCCTACATGTGCATAAGGATTTTAAAAGTTTCATCTTTCTTTTACTCAAATTAAATTATGTGCTTCAGTTCTTAAAATCAAATCTGAATAATATCTAACCCAAACAACATATGAAGACTTCTGCTCAAAAACCTCTCAAAGTTCATAAATTACTTTCCAAGGGACCCTGCTGCAATTATTAAATTATGATTTACAATTACTGCCCCTCCGCAGAATCATCCCCTTCTGGTAGAGGGGTTTGAGTACCCAGTGGTCCAGGGGCTATATTGTCTGGGGCATTAGCACCTGGATCTCCCATGGCAAACAGKGAGAGGAACACAGAGACAAAGGACCAGAAGCAAAGGACCTCTTAGCCTGACCCCTTTCGAGAGGGGTCAGGCTAAGAGCAATTCAAACCCTTGATGAAATGAAACATCAAAAGCATCAGGAAACCTCTGCCAGAAAAGGGAAACCGTGAAGCGTGAAAGCTAACAGATTAAATTGAGGTTCTCTAATCCAGACATTTCCAAAATTGGGGTCCTGACCCACAGTGGGATTGTAAATATTTTTTATGTGTCGCCAAATTATTTTCTGATCACTGTGGTGATTTAGTCTACCTGAAGGAGAAAAATTAATGGTTAGTTAATAAAAAAGCAGGCACTACGATAGACCAAGCCACATCTCATGGAGATTACTCTACAGAGAATAAGTATCAATGCAAAAGGAAAACTGTAAGTCTAATAAAGGCGTCAACACAAATTACTGAAAACATTAACGAAGCTGATGAGAGGCGTAACAACAATGGAGGCACAGAAATCCCCTCCACTAAAC